AATGAAAACCCAAAAAGGCATATTTGGGGCAGAGAAGGCCAAGCAGAAACATCACTGCACTGCTGAAATAGAACACGGACACCAGAACAGTCTAAATTTGGGAACTAAAATAGGTGCGTCCCCTGGGGAGCCAGAGGAAGTAAAGTACGCTGAAACCAAAACTGCCTTTCAGGAAACAAAGCAGAACCTTGTTAGGGATCAGCTTCAGAAGCAGAACTTTACTCCTTACTAGTGCAAGGAGCTGTTAGCAAGCAGCTAGTAAGATTAGTAAAGCTTACAAACAAAAGCAAGTCAGGAAGTGTTCAGTGTGCAGCCTAAAAGCAGCAAACGCTGCTTATTTCTGTTGATGGCAGAGAAGCACAACAGATGTGCCTCTTCCAATTTCCATTTTGCAATAAATAGTTTTGACTGGTCTGGCAGTTCGTTGTGGAAGAAATACTTAAAATTTCCCAAAACTCACTCGTATTTGTAGCTCCTTCGCAATCTGTCGAAGCTGTTGCAAGTCAAAGAGATTGTTGTAAGTCCTCTCTGCGATACTGTTAAGGGCAGAAACAAATCTTTTTGCTTGTGACCGATTGCTCATGCCAGATCCATGTTGTGAACGTTCAAAGTCCAGTTTTCCAAACTCATCTGAGTAGGTTCCCAGCATGCTACAGATATATATATATGTATAAATAAATAAATACAAACCAATGGGGTAAAAGGAAGAGTGTATTAATTTGCTTCCTGAAACGTAGCTGCTTGAGAAACTACGTCCTCAGAAGCCACATAGAAAACCATCCCCTAGTAAGAAAGTCACTATTGAGGGAATTTAGACTAAGCATCTGCCCAAGTCACTTTCAAACTTAAATTGTTTTAACTGCAACAGAGAGTAATCACACAAAAGAAAAACCTTCTGTGGCACCTCATGTCTAAACTGTCGTGCACTGATACTCGTAACTGCTATGATGATACAATGCAAAGGTCTAAGAGAGCGTATTCAACTTAGGGCTGCTGTCACTTTTTCAAGAAGAGGTAACAAATATGAATATTGGTATCATGGGCCTAAATTCAATGAAATCATTTCTTCACTGTGTTTGCATATCTGTATTTTAAAAAAATAATTAATTTTTAATTAATTAAAAAAAAATTAAAAAAAATGTATTAAAGCATCATGGTGCTACTGGACTTAATAGCACCGTGATGCTTTCTTTATTTATTTTTAAAGCAAGGTGTATTACCTATATTTCATTATTTGTATTACATCTTCAGCATCTTCCTTGGTAGATTTCTCCCTTAATTCCATCCTTGATCGTGCCTTAAAATAAACAAAAACCCCCACAAAGGTATATTTATATGATGTGAAAAAAGGCTACAATTGCTGTATAACAAGCACAGATTTTGGGAGCAGAGATGGAACCTGAGCCTACAGGATTTAGAGGAAGATTCCTCTATTTTTTCTGATAGTGTTTCAATGTCACCTCCTACTCGCATTATCAGGCTGTAGCTCAGAGTTTATTTGCTTTTTAATAACGTATTCTTGGGAAGCAGCAGATCCCTAATAGAGTTATTAAGGCATAGAGTTAGGGAAAACTGCAGCAGTTTAAGTTCAAGACAGGCAGCAGCTTGTTCCTGCCTGCAGCTACTTTTTCTCCTTTTGGGAGAATGTGATAGAATCCACTCCCTTGTTTTACTTTATTAAGAGGCTCTAAGCAAAAGTAGCTCTGAAGCATTTGTAAGCCTCTTACATTCTCACTTTTTTTTTTTGTTTTTAAACAAAACCAAAAAGCACAGCAGCAAATAAGCTGTCAAAAACTACAGGGTATCAGGAGTAGTTTAGGAATCTTTTTTTTTTGCTTTCAATCCCTTAAGTATTACAGCTTGCCTCTGTAAGTCGAATCAGGGACTCTAGCTGCCTCGTGGTGATTGGGGTGCTGTCTGCTCCTTGGTTCTGTTTCCGAAGCTCAAGGTAGAATTCCTGGAGGACCTGAGCAGCTTCTGGAGATAAGTTTGGGTGTACATACTGCCGAGCATATCCGACGTACTTCTTCAGCAGCTGATGTGGAATGGCATCAAAGTTTTCTCCTGGTAAGATCTAACCCAATTACAAAGAGCTTAGACTTCTGTCTGTTAGAACCCAAAACAAGCTTTAACATAAAACCTTCATCTTCTACACTTTATGTGGTGAAATCCTCATTGTATGGGCTTTAGTGCTTCACATAGGAACTGTGTACTTAAAAAGTCCATAAGCTATGTTTAGACAAGTAAACAAACACATTTGGCCATTTCAGAAAAAGCAGCCAAAGCTTCTCATTTGCAATGATAAGAAGCACCAAGTACAATTTAACTATTATCAATAATTCTTTCTCAAAAAGAGAAAATCCAGTTTCCCAGTTGTTACGAAACAGGACTCCACAGAAGATTAAACTATCACTGTTGATATCTCATTCCCAAAAGCACGTGTGTTTGGCTCCAGTAGGGGATATTTCTCCCAAGACCTGTCATTTGACAATATCAGCCCTCAAACTGATCACTGAAGTTTAATAAGAAATATGCTTCTTCTCCTATATCCCCAAATCTGTCATGAGTTGCAGATGCCCAAGGACTTATTCCCATACTCCTTTATTCAGATTCAATACTTCACAGCACATCATCTTACATAAAAACATTATGTCCAGCCTCATTCTGTAGCTCTTTGTTGAAATCTAACACAGCAAATTTGCTATAGAGCATCTCATGCAAAGTGTCTTCTCACTACCACAACCAAAAAAACCCCAAAACTAGCTCAGCTGATAAGTTCTCTTTCTATGTGGAGATGAAGATGGCTTGAGACACATCTTCAGCAGCTCCAGCAGGGTGGGTAGTGTTAGCTACAACAGACAACTGGTACAAACTGGTGGCTGGAGCCTTAAAAGCTTCATCTTTTAATTCAGAACCAATTATCATGAGAAGAATGAGAGACTGAGGACACCCAGCAGGTCAGGGTTGCCAGGTCCCAGTGCAAGGAACACCACAGGAAGGGGCATAACAACAGTCACAGGACAAGTGAAAAAGTCCTACCTTTAGTCTTTCCAGTAGCGGTCGATCTGAAACAACTTCGAGAACAGAGCGATCCTGTGTGTTGGTACGAGTCACAACCGCGCTGCTGCACGCTGCCTGCTTCCCAGCTCGGATTGCCATCACGTGCTCAGACAGCAAGTGATCGTGATCTTCATTTGGGGTGTCCAGCAAAATGAAAACTAGATCAAATCTCGACAGTAAAGCACTCCCCATTCTAGAGGAAAGACAAGAAAACCGCACAGTGCTCATAAAGAAGTGGAAAAATTACAGCAACTCAACTCCACTTCAAAAGACACTTAAAAAAATCCTGTCCCATTCATGCAGAATAAAGTAGAACATATACTGCGTCCAGTTCTGGAGCCCCCAACACAAGAAAGACAGGGACCAGTTAGAACAAGTCCAGAGAAGGGCCACCAGGATGATCCGAGGGCTGGAGCAGCTCTCCTATGAGGACAGGCTGAGAGAGTTGGGGCTGTTCAGCCTGGAGAAGAGAAGGCTCCAGGGAGACCTTCTAGCACCTCCCAGTACCTGAAGGGGCTCCAGGAAAGCTGGGGAAGGACTTTTCATAAGGGCAGCTAATGACAGAACAAGGGGAAATGGGTTTAAGCTGAAAGAGGGGAGGTTTAGATTAGATATTAGGAAGAAGTTCTTCACTGTGAGGGTGGTCAGACACTGGAACAGGTTGGCCAGAGAAGCTGTGGCTGCTCCTCCCTGGAAGTGTTGAAGGCCAGGCTGGATGAGGCTTTGAGCAACCTGGTCTAGTGGAAGGTGTCCCTGCTGCTGGCAGGGGGGTTGGAACTGGATGAGCTTTAAGGTCCCTTCCAATCCAAACCAGTCTGTGATTCTATGATTCTAACAGCAATTTCTCTCTCAAAAGCCATGAAGAATTATTACAGTGCATTTGTATTCAAGCTCCAGGAAACCAGAATTAATTACATACAAACTACAAGACTGCCAGAAGCACCTACTCCTGAATGGGAACTATAGAATCACAGAATCATTTGGTTGGAAGAGACTTTTAAGATCAAGTCCAGCCATAAACTTAACATTGCATTGAATAAGCAGCATTTCAAAAAGGGCTCACTTTAAGTTCTCAGACACTGTTTTGGCTTTATTATAATGTCCTCCAACTGGGTTTGCTGCAGCAACAATAGATGTCCGAGCTGGCAAACTGCAAACAATGCCAGCCTTGGCAAGGCTGATGCTTTGCTGTTCCATGGCTTCCAACAAAGCCTGATGCTGGTTTCCCATCTTATCAAATTCATCTATTCCACAAATACCTGGAAGCAATTAAAACAAAGACTTATTAGAAAACCCGTTATCTGATGGACAAGTGTATGCTACAATCCAATGCTGACTGTATCATCTGATTGTCCAACCTAATGTCTTAGAGACTGCAGGAGACATCGAACCAACTCTCCATTTCAGCAAGGTTTGTTGTCATTCCATGCTGCCACAGCCAAACCATGATGAAGTCAGCCTGGCTCGTGGAAGCAGTGTTTTGATTACACATTAAAATGACAAAACAAGCTTTTTAAGAACAGAAATAGATGACCAATCTCATAAGCCAGCTATTTTTCAAAAATAGTAAGAGTCCAGCAGCTGCTGTAGAGTCAGATTTCTCAATTAGGAAATTGAGATTTCTCAATTAGGAAATCTTAGTTCTTTAACATATTAAGTAAGGCTGGCATGTGAATTGCAGAACTCCAGTGTCATGCACATCCCAAGACCTAGGAAAGCAGGAACCACCTTCAGAGAGGTCACTGGAGAAGCTCAGAACTTCCCAACACGTGGAAAGCCACTATCATACTTCAAATTTACATTTTTAGTCCACAATTATGCACCAAGCACTGTAGTTAACCTCAGACTCAGCAGCACACCCCCCCTCCATGTTTGCTCATAGGAAACCTGTAGCATTACAAATATTACCTTGATCTCCAAGTACTAAAGCACCAGCTTCCAAGGCAAAATCTCCAGAAGCGCCATCTCTAGACAGTGTGACAGTCAGGCCAGAGCTGGTAGAAGTATTACCACAAACATACACACCTCGAGGAGCAACATTACACACAGCCTGGAAGAGAAAAAAACATACTTTTTCCCCTCCCCAGGGTGAAGAATTTCATAAGCCTTATTCTAGAGAAACAATTTGAAGCAAAACCAAATTAGTTTCTTTCTGCTTAACATGGCCTAACAGTAAAGTTCTAACTCCTTGCAACCCCAAGAGACACTCCTGCAAAACAGGAGGAATAACTTTGGTCACAATACTTGCAGCACAGCCGTGTCTGCTGTGTTATCAAAACTGCCATGACCTTGGGCACAGCACTTACATTTCCAAGTGTGTTGAAATGCCTGGGGACGTGCTATCTGCCACGGAATTGCAGAGATGTAATTTCTCCACCTTCAGACCCCAAGGTCTCTTTAGACTAACATCTTGTCCTAGTGCCCAACACAAGCTGCTTCGGAGGAAGCATGTGCAGTTCTCCCCACAACTAGGGGATAAAGGACAGTCCTAGTCTTCTCTAGTAGTCTCTACTTTTTCTAGTATTCAGAAAGCAGCTTAGGGCTTGAAATATGAACAAGAAAAGCAAAGCATGGTAAGCTTGAACACAAGATGTGCTGCAGTGAAATCTGCCTAGAATGCAGTTATAACTGGATTTTCCCAGTAAATCTCCTTGCTACTGGAGATTTATCTTCATTTAACTGATCCATTGTTTTTTGTAAAAGGTAACACCCAAAGCATATTTGTTCAGTACCTGGTATGTGACAGGCACTGCGTATCAAATAAAAAAAACAACCAAACAAAAAACCTGGCTTCTGTACAGCTTTGGTTTTCTCCACGGGACCTTTTTTCCATGACAATGATGACTGAGAAGTGCTTTGTCTCAAGGTCTTATCCAAGGAACAGATTATTAGCTTTTCTTGAAGAGCATTCCATTATTTATGTGAAAAAACAAATAATCTACTGTATGCTAGAGAGTTCCCATTCAGTGAAAAATAAATAAATAAATTAAGAATTTGTTTGCCAAGATGCTTGCAGACCTATCCATCACTTGGGTTCAGTTACTGCAAGTCATATCCTAACGTAACACGTCCCTATTAGAAAGATTTGGACATTTTAAATGAGGTGCTGCAGGTCTAGATGAATTCTGTCAGTCTTTCACTTCACATTAACCATGGGAAAAGACATGGAAATTTAAAACCATCCAGATTAAGACAAAAAAAAATTAATTCTGTTATTAACTGATTTTTGTCACAGAAATGCTCACCAAGATTAAACCCCAAACACAACAGCAGGTCCCTTTCCAAAAAAGCCAAGATCTGTGCTAGCAACATAGAATTAGGATAAGAGAATGGACATAAACCTCACAGAAGGTGAGTGACATGGTATTTACAGCTGCATTAGTTCCAAGAGTGTACTTATTTTATTTGACAATGGATCAGCTCAATGAAGATAAGAAGGAGTAAAAATCCCTCACCAGGAAAAAGGGTTGGTGGAAAAAAAAACCCAAACAAAACATAGATAAAGGCAGGACAGCAAGCCTATACTTCAAAGCCCAGAGGCTTGACCAAGTATACCTGCTTTGGTAAGTATTTTATCAGGCTAGATCCCTTCTGCAAGGCTCCCTGGAAGGAGAGGACAGCAGGGGACCCCTTTGGGTACTATCCTACATGAAAAGACAGCTCCAGCAAGACTCAAGCAAGCCTTTGGTCTTGCTATCAGGATCAGGCAAGGCACAGCTGTCCTACTGTGCCTACAAGAAGTCAAGTTAGCAAGGAATTAGAGAAAAATACAATCAGACAATAGAAATAAATCAACCCATACTTGCAACATTTGACTTTTTCCTAATCCTGGATCTCCAACGACCAGAACATGTGGATCTCCTCGCACCGGGATTCTGTTCTTGTCATCTACAAACTTCTGACATCCTCCAAATAATGCCAGGGCCAAACCTGCCTTCACAATCTGTAGAGGTACATATGAACACCAAGAAGTATTCAATCATGGTGACCAGTACTGACAACTCCCTAGAATTTGCTGCAATAACCCTTTTCTTCTGGCTGGCTGAAATTAAGGGTATAATGCTGCCACCTCCTTGTCACTGAAAGTGGCTGTGAGTCACAATCACCTGTAAACACAGTCCCTGCCCCTTCCTCTTACCCCAGATAAGCTTTATAAATCCTTTCAGAGTTTACTGTGGCATAAGCATTTCAAATGGAAGTTGCAAGCAGAGCTGTTAAATTACTTACCTCATGGCCATAGATCGCAGGACAAAGAGAGCTGAAAAAGAAATAGCACTAACATAAGGGGAAAATAAATCTCGTGTTATTTTCAAATAATCACTTGTTATGTCTCTTGCCACAGAATACTCCTATAAACATGTAAAATTTTTTGCTTAGCTGTTGCTGAATTTCCAGCAGAAATCAGTTTCAGTCACCAACATCACATCTCTTGAAATTCTCAGATAACCAGATATGCTTGAAATAAAAGTCTTTCATCTGAGTTCACGCAAACACAGAGGAGAACCAGTTTCCCAGTGGTTTCTGCACCGGTTCTTATCTTAATCAAGTAGCTACCTGTGACCCTCCTTTTCAAGGTGCTAGTTTCATGATCTTTGACTCCACTGGGAGGGCCTGAGAGACACTCCAGCTAGAAGAGTACACCTGAGTCTGAACTGAGGGTCTTTCACACCCTCTGCTCAGTTCTCACACCTCTCTCCTCTGCTGCAGAAAAGCAGAGCAGAGAACAAAACAGCACTCAATTTGCTCAACAAGGAGCAAAATTAACTAACTGCTTTTTTTTTTTTTAAACCCATAGCTTTCTGTCTCAGAAACTAAAACACTCATTACTTCCCTGTATCCTTAAATCCCTCCCAAGGTCCTAACATCCCCACTGCAATATTTTCACTTCCTCCCAAGCCCCTCGCCCGCTGAAGTTTTTTCAATCTCTGTGCTCTCTGCCTAGAGACATTTCATAGCTTTACTATTCGCTGTCGCGTTTGTCTGAAGGTGGTTGTGCTGGTTCAGAAATACTAATCCCAAACCTACTCTAGATCTGACACAACTTACTTCACAATGAGCCTGAACAGATTTTCCTCAGCTTGAATTTCTTGAACAGCATAAAGGTCTTTAAGCGAAAACTCCATGAACGATCTTTGAAAAGTCTCATCATCAAAATTCTTTGGTTTTTGTCCTTTACTGTTGCTGACAGAATTTGCCTCAATGTACAACAAGAACATACACTTGTCATTCTTATTTTTAGAAGCTCCTGTTAGAAAAATTGAGAAAGGATGAAGGAATATTGTTTCTATTGTTAAGTCCTGATGTTATTTAAAATGGCATAGGGTAATGCAGAAATATTAAGTACAGCCACGTGCAAAATGTTCATATTTAAGTAAACTGAATATCTGCATTTTCAAAAACTGATGCACAGTAAGTTTCTAGTTACATTTGGTCTTGAAGCTCCCTCCATTTAGGTACACAATAAAATATTTTGCTGGATTAGGAGGGTACATATATATATATAGAATTTTCTCCCAGAATAAATGAACTTTTCCAGAAATTATTACATTATTCTAGTCAAATAAAAATTGAATATAAAATGTTGCCACTCAATATTTAGAGGAAAAAAAGGCAGAGTGCAGAAAAACTAAACACATAACTTAATGATTAATCATTTTCTATATGCTCCCATGATTACTGAGCAGAGAATGTGGTCTCACAGTAAATCATAGAATCATAGAATGGTTTG